GCATGTGGCTGCATGAAAACTGTGTCCTACAAATCCTGCATTGCTTGTGCCCCCACTTGCCTCACTTGCGACTGTCCCTGATGATGAGTTCGAGTGGGAATCCGAAACTTCAGGCTAACCAATTCCGTGTTCACGCTCTCGTGTCTTTTTCTTTTAACTACTTCCTTAAATTCGCCTCTTTGTTTCTTTGGACAGTTATGCTCTCCGTCAGCTGATTATACTCACCTCCAATCGCCTGAACTAGCCACCTAAGAAGGGTGGCTATGGACGGAAAGAGTGAAGTAGGTGCCACGCAAGCCCATCTCGCATGGCCGCACTGAACGTCATGGTTGTAAACGATGGTCAATTTATCGTCTACTGGACTATGAGCTACTTACAGGGTCTTAAATCTTGCCTGAAAAGTACTCGAATGACCGGACCACATTCCTATCCCCTAGTCTTTTAAGTAGTAATTGTTTTTCTGTCAATATTCTCGTGTCTGTGCTGCCAGAATGATAAATAATTACGTATTTTTATACTGCTGACTGCCTATTGGTAGCTCGCGCGAATATGATGCGGTTATTCTGCAGTATCTGATGGATTTCATCTCAAATATTCATATCAACTTTTGGACTGAATCTGAAAAGGCTTTTTTCTGAAATATTTACTCCAAGTTCGCGAATTACCTTCCTCTAAAATTAAACAAGGCCATCGGGAACCGCTGTTTGGGATTGTAAAGAAAGTCGACTTAAATCGGCCTTGCAACGGCAATATTATAAGAAAATCGTTATTACGCGGACGCTGTGCACTACATTAAAAATTGTCTTGACATCAGTCATCCGTGAGCCAGGGCGGATTTTGGGAAAAACTCACAACTGACACTCGTCGATAAACGTTTACCGACCGTTAACGGAACCCACTTGTTCTACTCTGTCTTTGTCTTGAGCTTCATTTCTCGGGCTCTTGCGGCAGCTGTGGCAGCTAGTAGTATAGACAGGTAGTAATACCGACAAAGGCAAGGGCGACTGGAATGGCCATTTCTTACTTATTAGCCGTCGACAGCCAGTCATACCCAGCCCAAAGTGATGCAACACTCGAGGCTCTAACTCACAACTATTTGATCAGGGTCTAGCACCCTAATCATTGAGCCACGAGCACGT